CCGCCTCCTTCCGCCCGCGGCCTCGTGGGTGCGCGGCCTCGGGCCTCGCGCTGCTTGCTGTTATCGCTACCATCAGCCCTTCTCTTCCCTGGGCTTCCCTTTGTATTTTTTGAGTTTTTCTCGCAATCTTCGTGCTTTTTGTGTTGTTTTGTTTGTTTGTTTCTCTCCGGGGTTTTGGTTTCTTTTGTTCTGGCTGGCTTTGCTTTTTGTTTTTCTGCTCTGGGCGGAGTCTTTGCAGTCACCGAGCCAGCGAAGGCCAGCAAACAAGGAAATGCTGAATGCTGAGCCTCGCCTTGATTTCCAAACTATTTCCAATTCCAAGTCCAAACAACAAAATAACAACCCTGGCTGTTGAAAGAAGGGGGCTTGTGTCTGAAAGCTTGCAAAAGCCTTTTCTCCAACTATTTAGTTGCTTTAATAAAAGGTAGTGTGTACCCCCAAAGATCATTGCCTGCCTGTGTCCTTAGACCATGTTAGACCAACTAAATAATTGGGGGGGGGGCAGGGAACAGCACGTCTACCCAAAGAGCTTTGCCTGCTTGTTTCCTTAGACCCTGTTAGACCAACTAAATAAGTAGGGGGAGGGGGGGAACAGCACATAGACCCAAAGAGCCTTGCCTGCCTGTGTCCTTAGACCAACACGGCTATAATCAACACTCCTCCAGGAGGACAAGCAGTCCATTGTTTGAGTGCTCACCATTTCACCTGGATAGTGATTCAAAAGGTCCGTCCAGGCACAACTCAGTGGGCCCCTTTCATCTAGGTCAGGAACCGGCTGTAGGTTGGTGACCCCCTGATCCAGGTACATTCGCAGAACATTTTCATCTCTCTCCATTCAGTGCGTGGTGCTAACTGCTCATTTGTCACTTTGCTGTGTTTAGCCACCTGAGCTGGAGAAGGAAAACCTGCATTTTGCGTTGTATTAGGCATAGAGCGCAGGCGCTTGGGATGCGTGGAAGTGGCGTCACTAACCAGATTGTTCTGCCTTTGTCTCAGAATGCAAAATTCTGAACGGAGCTTCAGGTATTCGTTTCATCTACACGAGAGAAGGCAGACCAAGCGGGGAAGCATTTGTTGAACTGGAAACTGAGGAAGATGTGAAACTGGCTCTGAAAAAGGACAGAGAAACAATGGGACACAGATACGTTGAAGGTTTGACTTGATTGGTCTAGTACCTGACTAAGTGTATTTGTTTCTTTTTTAGTTTTTTAACTTGTGTGTGTTTAAATGCATGGAGATATGACGAACTTATGTACTGTATTTTGTCAGTTGACTAGCTTCTCAAAAGGTAAATGACTTTAACTCTGCTTTTGCTGCATTCAAAAATGCATTAATTCTAAGTGCCTCTTACAGTTTTCAAGTCAAACAACGTTGAAATGGATTGGGTTCTGAAGCATACGGGTCCCAACAGCCCTGATACTGCTAATGATGGTTTTGTACGTCTTAGAGGACTTCCATTTGGCTGTAGCAAAGAAGAAATTGTACAGTTTTTTTCAGGTATGTGGGGTATAAGCATTAGCTGTAGCAGTATTGGTTAATGCTAGAATTACAGTGGCACTGTTCTGTTGCCCAGCACTACTTTCAGTAGTGCAGACTGTTCCAGTTTTAGATTATGTGGATTGCATAGGATTATATGTGCAAATAAAAGCTCCATTTGCTCCATTGACTAGGCCAATAGTTTTTTTAAGTCTTAATGTGGGTCAAATGAGACAACGTGTAGGTTAACTTGGTGACTTTTGGGAACCTTCTTTTAATTCTAAACATTATCTTGAACAGTTACATTCCAGTTAATTACAGAGTATGCATGTCTTGCCCTAAAAAGGAGTTTAAAATTCTTATTCTCGACTTAAATGATTCCACATGCGGTGTTTACTGAAGCACCTATAAATGGCTGAAAATTCTCATTGTTGGGATCAGTAATGTGAGTGGAATCTCTTAGACTTTGCCTCCTGTTCCTATCTTGAATTTGAGAGAGAGAAAGTAGTATAGACATGTACAAAACTAGTGTATGATGTGACTTTGAAAGTGAACTGAATATAGATGTGTTCTCTCTTTTGTTTATTTTGTTTTGTTCTTTAAAGCATTTGTTTAAACTTTTTTAGGGTTTTAAGATTCAGGTTTAAAGAAATTCTTTGTTTTTTATTTTAAAACATTGATCTTTGCCAACTTACATAATGTTGACAATTGTTCTGGAAATTGGAATAGTAGTATGAATGCATAAGAATCAAATGTTGCTTAGGATTAAACTTGCTAATGTTTTGAAAGCAGAAAGTGTCAACATCAATGTGAATCTTTCTTTACTATTGAATATTAGAATGCCTGATTTCTAACTTTTTGCATAGGTTTGAAAAACAGGACTGAGATTTGCTTTTACTTTATTTTTTGCTTTTTAAAGTAGGTTAGAAATGGACCATTGCTTCAGTTAGAAAACAGTTGCATTATATTTTATGTATTTTTAGTGAAGTAGTGATATTGAACATTAACAGTCTTAAGTGTGTAAATTGCCTAATTTGACTTCTGCTACTTGCATGGTTAATGAGTAATTGCTGTAAACCATTAGAAGTTGTATAAATGTGCCTAACATACACAGTGCATCTTTTCAATTTAGAAATTTAACATTTTTAAATGTAATTCATGAATTTCTCTTACTAAAGCAGTGCTTTTGAAAAAATATTTATCTAATACTGAATTTAGACTTTGAAATGTGTGCATAAGAGTATCAGTTTCTTTTGTGAACTTCGAGTAAATACTTGTACTATGTAAAGCTAATTGTACTATATTGACTTTTAAATGAATTTCAACAATTTTTGAGTATTCTGTAAAGTACTTAAGAAGCTTTATTTAATATGTGAGTTTCTTAATGCATCCTGCACTAATGCATTGCTACGTTTGGTTCTTTGCACAAACTTGCACAGCAGGATGGGTTAAGAATGTAAATTGAATGGTATGTGATCGTGGAGTTTCATGTTGACATGTTTTCTGCTAGACTGTTTATCTAGAACCAGCATACCATTCACGTAAATTTTTTTTTATTACAATTCTGGTATATTTTAAAGCTATAAGAAAAATTCATGACTGGGCTTGTGATTTTAATATTGCCCCCTACTGGGGTTATTTGTCCTTGGGTTGAAGGGTTGGAAATCGTGCCAAATGGGATAACATTGCCGGTGGACTTCCAGGGGAGGAGTACGGGGGAGGCCTTCGTGCAGTTTGCTTCACAGGAAATAGCTGAAAAGGCTCTAAAGAAACACAAGGAAAGAATAGGGCACAGGTGGGGATGGATGGTTGGTTGGATAAGTCACTTTTCTTATGGTAAATGTTAATTAAATCCATATTCTCTCTTCTTAAAAAGACAATCAGCTGATTCCCAAACCACTACATCTTAATCTAGTAGTTCTGATCTGTAACTTGGTCAC